TGAGGCTTCACCTAATATATTCAGGTAACTGCAACAAGTTTTTTTCTGTGCCTAATTTGCTTTATTATCCAGTTTGCTGTTCTTAGAGCTACAATCCAATACTGAATCTTGCTGAAATTGCTCTTGTTGACAATCATAGGCACATCAGACCAACTTAGGCCATGTTAAATTCATTAGTCATTATTTACTTCATATTTTGTGAAAAATATCATCTCTAACCTGGATGTATAGTAGACATTTCTTTTCTACCCTATTTCCTCTTTTGCCCTGCTTCACCATGTCAATATCCACCATGAAGAAAACTTGGGGTATAATAAAAACTGAAAAATAAGACCTACTCTTCTGATTTTATATGCCATTTGTGGAAAGTAGACAATAATCAGTGTAGTCATGAAGTCATAAATATAATGCCATCTTTATAATAAAACTTGCCTAAAACTATGATCTGTCTCACTTTGGAAGGATTTTAAGAATGGTCTCTCATTATCATTCTTTCTTTTTTGTTAGACAGAGTCTCACTCTTTCACCAGGCTGGAGTGCCGGGGCTCAATCTCGGCTCACTGTAACTACTGCCTCCTAGGTTCAAGCGATTCTCCTGCCACAGCCTCCCAAGTAGCTGGGACTACAGATGTGCACCACCATGTCTGGCTAATTCATATATACATCTTTTTAGTAGAGACAGATTTTCACCATTTTGGCCAGGATGGTCTTGATCTCTTGACCTCGTGATCCTCCTGCCTCGGCCTCCCAAAGTGCTGGGATTACAGTTGTGAGCCACCGTGCCCAACCCTCATTATCATTCTTAATCACAACCTCTTTGAAAAGTGATGATGTATGTATTAGGCACCATACAATTTTGCATCTTTGTGAGCCAGTTTTTTTGTCTTCTGGAAATTTATACGCTATGTGAAAGCAAATGATATCCCCTCAAACATATTTATTGTAGTATTATTTAAACTAGCAAAACTTGTAAACAATAAAATTGCCTGCAGAAGAGCGGTTTTGGTGGCCCACGATTTTTCAATTTGATGACATTAAAGAGCTATTAAAAATGGTAGTCATACAAATTATAATACAACACCTATATGTACGATAAAATGCTTAATGTTGGATATAGAATCAAAACAGAACTTATTTTGTTCACAACTATGAAACTATTCATATAGGGAAGAGAATATGAAAGTTGAAGACTGTTACAGATGGATGATAGATAGCTTTTCTCTCTTTTGTCCCTCTTCTCCCTCTTTCACTCTCATTTCCCTGCCTTCCTTCCTTCTCTTGTTATTATCTCTACCATTATTAAATGCTATTTGTAAAATACATAAAATTAGAGGAAAATGTATATATCATCTCTGTTCAAGATATGTTATCCAAAAAAATTTGCTTTGTCTACATATGAGATAGGTAATAGATTTGCTTTATAATATCAGATAGCAGTCTTTTACCTGACATATTGAATATTAAGATAAACATAAAAATATTTTTGTTTTAATTACTCATATAGTTGTCTTTATTTTTTATTCCAGTACCTTTGTATTAAAATGAAGGAAACAATTAGGCAACTGTATAAATATTCAGAATAAGCAATTGATCAAATTTTCTAAATTAACTGTTTCAAAGACTACATCATACCAAATTAAACTGGATAATATAGTAAATCCAATTAGCAAAAATTGGTTTCAGAGACCATATTTAACATCAATACACATTTTCCAAGTTAAGCGGAATGTTTTTGGTCCAGGAACTGTCAAAAAATATTTTGAAAGCTAGATTCCAAACATCTGTATCATGTCTTATGTTAAAATCTTCTAATTCTCTATGGCTATTTTGTAATCTTGTTAGAAAATTCCAATTTAGAGGCAGAGATAGTACAAAAGGGATGCTTGACAGGACAGCCAGAGTCCTGAGCTGCAAACTTAGTTGGGCACGTACTCTGTCACTGACCTGGATAACTTATTACATTTCTCTGAAACTTGTGTTCTTCAATTGTGAAATCAAAGAGATAGTCTATAATCTCCTTTAAAATTTAGGATCACAGTGTTCACCAGTAGGACTTCAAAACCAAAGGCCATATTTGGACCTGCTCTTTCCCATAAGTGGAGTAGATGGTGACATACTTAGTGCACAGAAAGGAATATGGGCCCAAAAATGTCTCTTTATAGTCTTACTATTAAATCTTCCTTAAGGATGTCATCTGAATTAAGCTATATTATTTTCTGAGAATAATCATTTGCTAAATTTAAGCAGATATGAGGTTCCTGATTAAGCTCTCATCTTTTTTCCTTAGTAGGAATTGGGGTTCGTGAGATACCAATATATTTTGATCATAAACAGAGTCTCAAAATATAGAGCATTGGTAGGCTGATGGCAGTCCTTGTGTGTTTGGGGAAATGGAATTTAATAAGAAATGTGATTGGAAAGAAATAGAAACAACAAGACAACACAATTATTTCAAAAAATTGTATTCTACCAGCCCTTTCCAGTCCAAGGGAAAAGTGAGCAAGGAAGCCTTGTGGTTTTGAGGGATAGCCTCTGAGCTGATCATATTAAGAAAAGTGAATTGTAAATTTTGTAAACATTAAAGCCATCTCAGACTTTCAAAGAAAGAAAGATATACTTCATTAGGTAAGTTGTCCCCAAAATAAAGTCACATTGTTCTGTTCTGGGCCACAGTAATTTTCCTTGTTGTTGTTGTTTTTCCCTGCCCAAGATAATATATCTCTTTCAATCCTTCTGAATACATTTTGTTTCCAAATTGCATAAAACTTTCTTGTAGAAACATTCCCACAAATTGCTTTCTTCCAGTTTGGCTTCCTTGTAAAACAAACAGCCCATTTTACCTTAAATGACTGTAATAGTGAGTGGCTGGTTGGCATTAAAATACAGTTTGGTTAATATACGAAGGTAGCAATTATTTCCCAGTGGAAAAGGGGTCTTACTATGTTCTTTTTCTAATCCTTCATGGGTAAAGTTTTTAAGAGCTCTGGTAGAAATAACATATTATTAGAAATCGTTCTTGCTTTTCCCAACATATTGATATAGAAGTGTTACCTGAGCATGCTGGAATAAAAAACCTCACTAAGCTTTTAGGAATTAATTATCTCTGTTCGTGCTTTCATTTTCTATGTATGATATATCTCTAATTTTAAGTTCAACTAAAAACCAAACTGCAAAGTCAGCTGAAAACTGGAGCTTCCATTTACTAGGAAAAGATTCACAAGAAAATATGAATTGCCTTTAATCACTCCAGCACTATTCACTTTTATTGGGGAAGAAAAAATGCCAATAATGTGGAATTCTATTACCCATCAGCTATTCTGTTTAAATAGAGCATAGAGATTACCTTTTGTCAATTACAGTTTATTGTCTTTCCTCATTCTTAATTCAAATAAATCAGCAAGACTTTGAAGTTTATAAATTTTAACAAGTAGTTGTATTATCTTCTAAGTTTTCATCTTTATATATAACAGCTCAAGTAATAATTTACACAGAAGAAAATAAATAGTAATAGACTGTAACTGTTAAGAATCCTACCCAAGTGTTTAAAGGATTACATTTTATAGAAAGCTATTTATATCAAGTTAATAAAAGGCAAGTTTTAAAACTGTATAATGCAAAAATTTCATATTTTAAAATATATATGCATACAAATATGCATAAATATATAAAACTACCAATAATTTCATTCCATATATATGCATAACACATGCATTCTAAAATTTCTGTATTAAAAAGAATCAGTGTGGTAATAGAAATGGACAATAAAAGTTATCTTCTTAAAACTAAAATCATTACAATGGTCTTGAATTTTTACAGCTATTTTATATTTCAATACATATAGTATAATCTTGAATAAATTAAACAAGGAGATTAAAAAAAGAGAAAAAATTTACTCACAAATCAAAATGGTGTTTATTACTCCTGTAACTTTCTAATGCACTATTGCAGTACTTATTTTTAAATAAACTTTGCATTTCAATTCTAATAAAAATTATTCCTGTTTTAAAAAGGCATTTTAGTTGGAAATAATTTCAAACTTGTAGAAACATTACAAGAATGAGAATAGTATACAGAATACTCAAATACCATTTACCTAAATTTACCTCTTGATAACATTTAGGCCTACTTGCTTTATAATTTTCTCTCTGTCTTCCTCTCCTTTCCCCCTGACCTCCATGAGACTAGGCTGCATACACCATGTCCCTTTACTACTTCCAAATATTGTGGTGTATATTTCATCAGAATAAAAATATTCTCTTACATAAATACAGAATCGCCATTAACTTCAGTTAGTTTAATTTTGATGTAGTACTTTTCATCTACAGCCTGAATTCAAATTGAGTTGTTGGCTCAACGATGATCTTTATACACACTGAATTGTGGTAGCTCAGTCTTAGGATGCTGAGCCTCATTCATTTGGGATATTATAATAAGGACAATCAGGTGAGACTTTCTGTGGTATCTACAATGAAGATGTTGAAGATGGTGCCCACCGTATTCAAAGGTGTTGCCTTTATGAGGATCCACAGTAGAAATATCCATGGACACTGAACAGCCTTGATGTTTATTTTGACTACCAAGGAAATTAAAGCCAGAATTTGGTAAGTCTGGCAGGGATGTGTGGTTGGTTTTTCTTTGTGCTATCACCAGCCTTATTTGTTTTCTCTTTCTTTTTGTTACAGTTTCCTTATCTACTTACTTTACCCTTTAATACAAGTTTTAGAGCTGCCTTAATTCCCTCTGGAACAAAATTGGATATAAGTAAACAAATAAATAAACTGAATACATACATACATACACACACATGCACCTAACTAGATGAAGAAAATGTGTCACATATAATTGTAGACTTAAGGTGAATACGTCTCCATGTCCTAACCACGTTTGTTGGATAGCAGCTTCTTACATCCTGCTTTCTCCATCAGCTCCTCACATTTCCAACAGAGAACCAGGCACCATAATCACATTTTCTCTGAAGGCTATCTCTCTGACTCTCTTACCAACTCCAAGACTCCCAGCATCCCAGTTGAGGATCTCATTTCAGCAGACAGTTGCCAACTCTTGCGTGGACATACCAAATCCTCTCCACAGTTTGAGAGTAAAGAAGGTTTTGTAGCATTTGTATTGCTAAATATAATTCCCTTTCATGTCTCAGGCCCCTTCTAAGCTATTCCATGAAGACTCAAGTACTCATATGTGAGCCAACTGCAGGAAGTGGAGAATTTTCAGGCTTCCAGGATTCCATAACAATGGCTTTTGTTTTTCATTTTGAAACCTTTTTGGTCAAAATCCTAAATGGAGTTGATTCAATCCAGAACACCCGGCAGTGAAAAATCAGACACTGCTAGATCAGGTAAAGAAAAATGATATTTAGAAAATATTTTCTTGAGATTTCTAAACAACCAATCTCCTTATGGGTGAGGAGTGGTTCCATGTGTGGGAAGCTCCATGCTGACCTACATAGTGTTGCCTCTATGGAAAAAGTAGATTTCAATGGTTTTATTGATTTTTTACTTGTGAATGCATTTGATGGTCTAGAAAATACAGCCACACTCATGACCTTTCCCCATTTTCACAGCAACCTAGTGAGATAACTACAATGTGAATTGTGATTTCTACTTTGTAGATGAGGAAATTGTGGCCCAGTGAGTTTAAAGCTGTGCGAGAGCAGGAAAGGTCTGCTGGCACTTAATTTGTTCTATTGCAAGTCCCAAACCAATATCATAACTTACCTGTTTCACTGATGGCGTTATTACATTTTAGTCTTCCGGGAAAAACAACAACAAAAAGGACCCTTAGATTAATCTTCAGCTTTTCCTTCTTTGGTACTCTCTACACTTTGTGAGGAAGCCAAGCCATGTTGTCTCTACCTCCCAGATGTCCCTGCCATCCGTTCCTGCCTTCTGTTACTTCATTACCCTCTGACTACTCTTGCCTTGCTACAGTGGCCCTAAATTATAGAAACCATTTTCTAACTAGTCATTCTGCTACCAGCTTTTCTGATTCCAATACAAATCTGCTGCCAGAGCGTTCTCTTTAACACAACAAATACAAATAATCATGATCTTTCTTGCTTTAGAATCTATAATGGATTTATACTGCAAGTACAAAGCAGATTTCTAAAGCTGCCAAGCAGAGCCATCAGCTAATTTTATTGAACTTTATAATTTTATTTTTCACTATGCATATATGTTCAACCTGTGAAATTTTATTACACAAACCATATTTGACTTGCTATTCCAAAAGCATTATGCATTCTTTAGCTGTTGGGTCTTTACTCAAGTTACTCATGCCGTTCCCAAACCCCATCCTTAAGGATTTAGCCCAAACATGCCTCCTGCATAATGGCTCCTATATTTCTCCAGCTGGAATTAATCTCCTTCTTTCACATACTCCCATGACTCTTAGTTCAACTTCTATTTTAACATTGCCTGGAATTCAAACTTTCAATAATTATTTCTATATGTCTGTCTTTTATGCCAGACTACAAATTCTGTAAGGACCCAAGACCTAAGTCTGTTTTTTATCTTTGTCATTCTGTACATCCTCTTTAGTGCTTTGCATTACTTATTGTACAATAAATATTTGCCAAGTCAATTTACTTAAGGATGTCAGGATTTGGATTAAGCCATTGCCTCCATTTAAATTAAAGCAAGGATGTCACCTGAAATAAGCAATATATTGACCAAGTGCATCAATTTTCTCTAACTATGGTTAGGTTGTCAGAACAACAAAAGGCAGAGCAATATTCTGAGAGACTAGAAGAGGAAACAGGCAAATTAGAGGTGGGAAGGTTTGGTGTCAGTGGCATTTTTGGATGGCTCAGGATGAGAGAAGACGGCCTAAAAAGAGATACAGAAGCTACAGGGGAAGTATTATGTAAAGAAGAGTGGGAGGGAAGGACAGAAGGAAGCTAGCATTTTTTTGTGTCAATCTTGTATCAGACACTTTAGCATAGGTTTGTATTCGACCCTCCTGCTGCCATGAAGAAAAGGTATTCTTATGCCCACTATATATTTATGTGTTAATAGAGAGATTGAAATTCAAAAGTGTTTAGTGAATAAGAACCCAGATACCTCTGCTTCCACAGCCTTTTTTCTCTGCCATGTTGACTTGGATAAAACAAATGCTTGGCAGAGGAAGAGGAGAGGTGCTCAAAAGGCACAAACAGAGGATGGTGGAAAGACTACCAGGTGTCAGTGGGAAATTCTGTTTCATGTATGACTCTACCTTTAATTGCTTCTTTTTTGTGAAGAACAAAAGGAAGTATATTCTGACAAAAAGAAATATACCTTAAATTAGATTTCAACCAGGCAGCTCATTAAGACTGCCCTTTTCTACAGCTTTTCCTGGATATGGGGAACAAGGAGTGGGTAGGAGGTGGACATGGTGAGAGAGGAGGGTATTTTTATACAACCACATTCTTTTATGGAATGAACTATGGTGTGAAAATTAGTCTTGCATCTTTTAGATCATAAATCTGAGTGGGGCATGCTGTCTTGGCAAAAACCAGTAGCAACGTGCTAAGTGTTTATTGCCAAAAGAAATAGCATTATGACAGCAGATAATTATGAACAGCGCTAGCAAGCAGGGCTGGGAGGAGATGGCTCTGAGAGATGGAGTGTAGGGGCTCTGGCTGAAACCAATCAGGCTCTCAAATCCTTGCCACTGATCTGCCTTGAAGCTCAATCCACTTTCTTCTTTAAAGAGCAAGGATTTGTCTGGAGAGAAGAAATCTGTTTAGAATCATCAGAAACCATATATGAACTGATGATCAAAGGTGAGGAGGGTATTTTATTTTTAATGCTGAGCTCAAAGCATCTTTACACTCTCAAACCTGTAAAATGTGTTGGCATTCCAGTGCAGGTTCCTGAGGACCCTTATTATTTAGAATCTTTAATCCAGTTTTCTCTCATGATTTCCAGTGGACACATTTTATTAGGTGCAATAGCTGGATCCTGCTGTCTCTTTCTTTTGGTATGGAGTCAGCTTATGAATGAGGGCAATTCAACCTCCACAGCATGGTTGAGGTAAAAAAAAATCTAATGAATTCAGGCTGTGAGGGAAAATTCTGCTCTGGGTCTCCCTTTCATGGGGAAGGGAGAAGAAAAGAGGCACTCAGCCTGCTACCTGGCAGTCGTCTGGAAGCAGTGTCGTCTGGACGTAGTGTTTCCTGCTGGAGTTAAACAGGCCTCTGTTACATAAAATCCTGCTGGCATTGCTCTGATGCCACACCCCAGCCCTGCTCTCAGGAGCCCTCGCCTTGGTGCTTCAATGCTTACTTCATTTCGACACACCACTCCTATTTACAAGACTGCTTTTTATCTGAACCCATGCCCTTCCTGTAGCATATTCCTTTAAGAGTAAATGAGGCATAGCCAACACCAGAACATTCGTTGATTTAGCTTCATCAGGGATTTCAACGTTTTAGGAAGTGAATTGCCCACATAAATCATGATTAACCATTTGATCTGTAGGGGAAAACATTCATTCAGAGAAGACCAAGGTCTTTCTTTAAAGGCATTACCTACTTCCCTCTTAGAACATTCAGAATGTAATTCATTGCTTTCCTTCGTGACCTGAGGTCATACTTAAAAGGTATTGATTTGTTGCCTTGTGTTATACAATCATTTCCTAAGGCAGAAATTAGAGGCAAAATATTTAGTAACAGCAAGTAGTAGAACTAACCAATCAAATTGGATGAAAGCCATGAATAACCCATTTGGTCTAATTAATGAGCCCTTGGAGATGATCAGCTCTGTCCTTGGGACTTAATGGCCTCAAACTTAATGTTCCCTTCTGACTGACATTTATCAAATACCTACTTACTTATCTTAGCTAATTTAATCCTCAAATGACATTATGATACAGGTGAAAATATTTACATTTTATAGAAGAAGAAAGTGCTTAGAAAGACCAAGCATCTTGCCTAATGTCATACCACAGCTGCAAGGTCAACATTTGGACATTACTTACCGCCTGAATCAATATCACCTACAATACACTGCCTCATTCATTCCTCTTGCTCCTAGTTATCTGCCGTAGAGAAACTGCCTGTCAAGCATATTAAATACGTAATCTCATTTGCATACCACACAGTTCTCTTTCCTTTATTGTTTCAATAAATTGAATGCCTATAATGTGCTAGGCACAGAAAAATCAAATGGCCCATACAGTGAACAAACCCTGACCTCTGGCTTTCTTAGCACTATATTTAACATCCAACCTACTCATATAATCTTTAACACTTTTGCCAGGTATGAGTGCAGTCTCTTCTACAAGGCAAGATTGTTAACTTTTGGCCTAACAAAGACCTTTCAGGTTTCATTTTTAATTTCATGTTTGGTGGATGAGACAACTGGAATTCTAATCTTAGGATAACAGATAATTGGTAAAAGTTCTCGTTTGCTTCTGCCCACCTGCCCAATACCCCTCCCCAACCTATAACACCTGGTTAAGGAGAACCTGCAGAGCAATTTATATCCACTGATACCAGTACAGGGGAGAGGAAAGAGTCTCTCTTGATCTTCATTCATTCCACATATATTAATTGAGTGCCTACTATGTGTCAGAAACTCTTCTGGAAATTTATCTTAATGCTTGTTTCAAGTCAAACTGTGCTACCCAATCACTGATTTGAAGCAGCCTTTGTGCTTTTATATTTCATATTCCTGCCTCAAGCCTTTTCCCCAGTGATAGCCAAGAGCAACATGAAGTCTTTGAAATAGGGTTTACAGCCTTGTTTTTCTGTTACTAATATAGCATGCTGTTCTCATCATCGGTCTGATTTGGCTACTGACATGGTGACATGCTGGAATGTTTCCTCAGAGATCCAAGAGTAAAAAGGAAGCAACAACAACAAAAAAGCACAAAGAGTTCAGAACAAGTAGGTGCCTTCCAGTAAAGTCTACATGAAGGAATTGACTTCCTTGAATGCCTTCAAAACCAAATATTTGCACTATAGGACAGACAGGTATGGATATTTTCTCAAAAGCATTAGGAGAGAATCTTGGGAAGAACATGGAACTGACTCTTTGCTCCTTCCCTTAGCACTTCAATGATTCCTCACCATTTTAGGGGGTAGATACAAATGCCTGAGTGTGACATATGAGGCCTTTATAATTCCATACTTTTCATCCCCTCATACTCAGCTCAAGAATTACCTTTTCCAAGCAAGGTTTCTGGATAACCCTGCTCCAGTAGAACTAGCCAGTTTTTCTTTGTGACCTTACTCTTCTATTCAATAGCGTTATTCATAATGAAATTCAATATTGATCCAGTATGTAGGCTTCACAGTCAGATTTCCCAGGATTGAAACCTGACTTCTATACTTCATTTTCTGACTTTCAGCACATTTTTAACATCTTTGTGTCTCAGTTTATCAGTAGAAAGGGAATAATTATAATCACATCTTTCTAAAGATTTTCAAAATGAGAATCAAATGAAATAATATGGGTAAGGTGGTCTCAGTATGTGAAACATAGACTTCAAAAATATGATTCCTTGTTATAATTGCATGTCTTCTATTCAGTGAGTTCTTTCAATGCAAAATCTGTGGCACTTAAACTTGCATTTAGTGCCTAATGATGTTCTTATTTATTTAATGTATAAAATCTTCACAACATAGGAAACAATTTAATTATTTAATTATAGCCTACATTAGTTAGGCTAACACGAAACAATAACAAAACAAGAAAAAAATACATGTTAATTTCTTGGCTCTGTAACATTCCTAACGTGTTTCTGATCATCACGTATCTCTCCTCCAAAGTGTGATACAAAAATTCAGAATCCTTTCATCCGGTTGGTCCTCCATCTTCAACAGATAGTTTCCAAGATCAACATGCTTGTCTGTCTGTAGATAGTAAAAGAGGAAAAAAGTGGGGAAGGAACACTTATTCTTGACCACCATGGCCCAGAAAGAAAATACCTCACTTCTGTTGACATTCCACTGTAAAAACCATGACCTTTGCCACACAACTCTAAGCCATGTGATAGGTAGGCAAGCATCCATTTCTAATTGCCCTTGAAGGATGTTAGGAAATTGATGGGAAGGAGAAGACAGGGAAGGGTACTCCTGGGAAAAGAAAAGAAGGTGAATAAAGGGCAAAGGGAAGTTTAGGTTTATAGAATCAACACATTTCACATTTCAACAGAAATGCAGGGTACATGATGGAGAAGATAGGAAATAAGAGTTGGAGGTTAAACTCAGTCCGCCCACCTTATTATGATTGTTCACTTCACATCATACTAAGCCTAGGGTTCTATAGTTTCTGAGCTTGACACTTCTGTGGAAAATTGGCAAATGCGAAAATACCTAAGCTCATTAGATAACGACTGGTCACGATCATTTGAAGCACAGTTGTCAGATTTGTTAAATAAAAATATAGGACATCAGTTAAATTTGTCTTTTAACTAAATGATATTTTTATAGTATGAATAAACCCCGTGAGACATTTGGGACATATGTATATTAAATTAGTATGTGTTATTTATCTAAAATTAAAATTCAACTGGGTGTCCTATATGTTATCAGGGCAACGCTATTTTTTTAGGGCAAGAGAAGTATCTAAGTAATTTTCCTCTTAGTAATAATTGTAATTCTCTGTACTTTAGATAAAATTTTAGAAATTTTCCCTTTCCTTGTCAGATCTTTTTCTTTCTAGTTTTGCACCAAAAAATTATTCTCTGACAATAATCATTCTTTCAAGTGGCTTCAAATGGTAAAAAATAGAAATGCATTATGCAGAATCACAGTTTGTCCTGTGATCGGACCGTTATATGATGGGACTGCAAGCAGAGACTACACATTTATCAACAGTTAATTTCTATGGTATCTACCCTTTTAAGAGTCAATACTGATAATCAGTTACAGAGGTTCTTCAATCCTTGTAGCCCATCAACTAGATAAACTTGTTATTGATGCCAAATCATTTTTTAAAAAGGTTCTGTTTCGCCTTGAGACCAGGCTGTACCTCTAATAAATACTAGCCAGTTGTCTTGTAAACATACAGTGATAATAAAGCAATGTTAGTGTAGTAATAGTCATAGTAGTTGTAGTAGTAGTAGTAATAGCACCTTTATTGATCACTTCCTTTAGGGTAGCCATTTTTACAATTGTTTCATATGAATTATTTAATCTTAATAATCTTGGTTACACAGAGGTTAACTAACTTGCCAAAGTCTGAAGAGCTAGTAAATGGAGAAGCCAGACCCACTGGACAGAGGATTGGTGTTAAACATCATAGTAATTGTCTGTGTTAGTGAAAACTATCTTCCCACTGGGGCAGTGACCCAAAGCATCAACACTTGCATTATAAAGCACCATCCTGGAATGAGTCAAGTGGCACAGGCTCAAAATAATGCCTTTGGCATTTCTTAGCTGGTACTTTGGGTAGCTTGTTTAACTTCCCTGTACTTCAGTTTCCTTATCTGTAAAAGGAAATGGTAACATCTACTTTAGTTCAAAATTAAGTACATTTAATGCAGTGAGTAAATATTAATTAATATTATTATTATGAATATTATTCCATACAAACTGGTTTACATAGAATTTTCTTGTCCTTATAGAAATGAAGTCTTGCATGTTCTCACTCATAAGTGGGTGTTGAACAATGAGAACACATAGACACAGGGAGGGAAACATCACACACTGGGGCCTGTGGGGTGGGGGGCTAGGGAAGGAATAGCAGGGGGTGGGGGGATTGGGGAGGGATAGCATTAAGAGAAATAGCTAATGTAGATGACGGGGCAATGGATGCAGCAAACCACTACCACAGCACGTGTATACCTATGTAACAAACCTGCACAATCTGCACATGTACCCCAGAACTTAAAGCATAATAAATAAATTTTTAAAAAAGAGATGAGGTCCCAATGTTCACATGTAGATAAGAAATGACAACAAATCTCTACTATTTCTCTACCTCCTGTTCATCCTATTAATACAATTAATATCTTAAATGTGTGCTTTGAACAAGTGATAGATGAAGAGCAACACACATCACTGTGAAAAATAAAAAATATAGAAAATAAAAAGCTAAGTACTTGCCAATGTTTGGCTAGTTCCCAAACATCATGATATTCCTTTTTATTTTATTTTCTAATGGAAGGGCTATATCTGCATTTTCTCATAATGACTTAGGTACTTGTTCATACCAAACAAGTTAATAAAAAAGAATGCCATTGAAAGTAAAATACTGAAATGTTGACATCACACTCAAAATATTACTTGGTATTTATTCTTTGCTTTTGGAAGAAAGACCATATACACACTGGTCTTTGCACTTTTAGTTATGCTGTTCTCCGTGTCTCTCCTCTTTCCACTTAACCACCCTTTAGCCTAGTTCCTGCTTTAAGTTCATCCGTAGACTTATAGATAAAGATGGCGACCACCTCTGAATGCCTAATCTTTTCTGACTAATCCCTTTTCCATACTCAGATAGACTTAGAGTTTTTCCGATAATCTGAAAGTTGGCATTCTATTATTGTGTGAAATCCATAAAAATAGAGCTTATTAGAAGAAAGAACATGGAATTTAGAATCTGAGTTCTGTTGTTTCATTTCCTGAGAATTAAATGAGATCTATCATACTGATCTTCCCCATGACGAGTATTGGTAGACTGGAGACATTTCATAAATGTTTGCTTGATTAATGGTTGTCATAATTTAGGTAACTAATATATGACAGTGGCTGACATGATGTAGATGCTCAAAAGTCTTAATTTATTTGCCATTTTTATTATAACCATGCTGCTTACATGCCATGCAAGCTCATGGATTCCTAATTAAGTGCTGAGAGCTTGCCTGTATATAGGCTTCCAATTAGAGTAGCTCCGCAATAGAAAAACTGAATATCTAACATTTTACTTTTAACTGATTTAACAAGTTGTTAAATTAGGTCTGTCAGATATTAAAAATCTGACTTAATAAGTAGTATGTTCCTTTTTTCAGGGATATGGTTTCTGAAGGAATATGGCATATTGTGGCATTTTTCAAAGATAACCAACTCAAACGTTCTTCTTACAATGTAACATTGATAGGACTCCATCATGAGGCAGGATTTTTACCCTCTCTCCACTCCTCCCTCAAACCTGGATGGACCCTCATAACTGCCTCAATTAATAGAGCATGCCAGAAGTGACCCTATGCCTTCCTAGCCTGGGTCTGACCTCTCTGGGACATGTATCTTCAAAACTTTAAGTCAGCATGTAAAAATTCAGCTACCTGCAAGCCCCCATACTGGAGAGAACATGTGAAGACACTCCATAGAGTTACAGATGCCCAAGGAGCCCCAGATGAGTTAACCTGCAGTCTGTTCAGATCAGACATCAGAACATGTGAGGGAGGAAGTCTTCAGTATGATCCTGGCCCTCACCATTGTCTGATTACAACCTCATTAGAGACCCCAACTCAGAAGGCCCATATTTACTTCTCTTAGATTCCTGAGCCATCAAATTTTGATAGTTAGAAAATGATTATTGTTGTTTCAAACCACCAAGTTTTAGAATGATTGTTGCACTGCCATGGAAACAAGCAGGGCAATTAGGGGGAAAAAGTTAGTCTAGTTAGGTTTAAATTGCAAGACAGATGAGCCATGTCTTAGAACATTCCATCCTTCAATCCTGGTGATCACTGCGAGGGGAAGGCAGAGACTCTGCCCAGTCTGTGAGGTTTCCATTGATTCCTGGGATTGTGGCAACTGAAGTTGTCTAAGACAATTTTGTCCTGAAAAAGCCATGGCTCTGGAATAATAAAATATACTTCTTAATAGTTTTTCCAGTAATTAAAGTGTTATTTCCACATCCGTTTTAGTAAGTGTAAAAATACATTTCAAATCACTCTTTCCTTCAAAGTGGGAAAAGGTGGGGGTGGGGGGAAGCAGAGCCCATATGTCTCCAAATAAATGCAGTTACCAGTACTGCCTTTACCGAGGTCATACACCTATATGGTGGAGGGCATAGGATGGTGGAT